AAGGGTGATAGTATCATGCCAGAATAAGCACAGGTGTTAGGGCAGAGGGCGAAGGGCATCTACCCTGGAGGAGGGGGTGCAGGGCTGAGCTCTCCAGGAGGCCACGGGTGGAATATCGCCAAGTGAACGGGGAGGGGCAGACATAGGGGAGAGCAGGTGCAAGACCCAGAAACAGACACGGGGCACACCAAGTTCCCAGAATGGCAACAGGCCTGGAACGGCCGCAGCTCCAGGCGGGCTGGGGAGGAAGAAGACAGGAAGCCTCGTCCTGCTCAGGTGGTGGGATTTATCCTGAGGCAATTGAAAGACATCGAAGAATTCTATTCACAGAAATACTGGATAGATTTGCAGTTTTGAAAGATCTCCACGGTGGGCGTGCGGGCAGTGGGCTGCAGGAGGCTAGAGGAGCAGTCAGAGATGGCTGCAGGAATCCTGATCTAGGCAAAGTCAGGGCCCTGGAGGGGAGACTACCAGGCAGGTTAAGCAGGCTTCGGTTACTAGCATTGAGGGGTAGGAGATGGGGAGCCACTTAGGACGCCCCCAGGGTTTGTGGCTTGGGAAGTAGCAAGTTTATGGGAAGAGCGGCAGATTTGTGGGGGGAAGGCAGTTAGCTGGGCTTTGACAAGCTATGTTTGTGAAGCTCATTTGCTGTTCAAGTAGTGATGACCAGCGATCAGCTGGCTCTAGAGGGAGATGTGTCCAGATATAGAAGAGAAAGGGTAGCGTCTCCAGCCCTCTGAGCCTGTAATCACGTGCCATGCGCAGCCGAGTCCATCAAATACTCTACTGCACAGTGTCTTGCTGGAGGCAATCTCCCATCCCGGATCCTGAGCAGGATTGCTTTCACTCTTCTTTGCTCAGCTCTCGACCCCAACCCTGACTCTGGTCTTTTCTTATGGTCCCTGGAAGTCAGGGTTTCCCTGGTAAGGGGACTGTCGCCTCTCCCGTGGGCTCCAGCTTTCCCACTTCTCCTGCGCTTCATGTCTCCCATTGGCTCCAGAGGGAATCCAGCGCCAGCTCTGAGTCCAACCTCCATCCTGACTACTCGGCCTGCCTATGGCTGGCCAGTGCCCACTGCTTTGAGGTGGAGGCAGGACTTCAGATAGTCAAGACGGAAACCCTGGGTAGTGCTGACATTGATGGGACAGATACAACATAATCAGCTCCTGAAAGAGGGTGAAGGAGGCTTGGGAGGAGGCGCAGGTGGGGAAAATTCCCAGTGGGTTTGCGGTAACGCTTCTGGGTGGTGTCTGGGAGTCCTGACCATCTGGACATAGCTTGGTCTAGAAAGTCTAAAAATAGTCTTTCCCATCAAAATTGACTGTGTGTTTATATCTTGGCTTAGGCGAACAAGTTTCAATTTACCTGTTTCGATGCCCAGCACAATGTCCAACATATGGCAGACACTTGATAAATATTTGTTGACAAAAGTGAAAGTCATTAGATGCCATAGTCTCTTGTCATCATAATTAACAGAAGGCCAGGGATGGCAGCCTTTCAGCCTAGTGGGTCTGTGCAGTGGGCCTCTGCTGAAGTGCAGCTGGGGGAGTTCCCGGTGATCCCAAGAGGCTCCGAGGAAGTACGTTCTCACATTTCTAAGGCTCTTCTTTCAGACTGTAGTTTCATCATTTGTTCCAACAACAATTTTCCGTACCAACTGGGTAGGCAATTCAGTTAAATTCTGACGCTAAATACCTGGAGTTAGCACTGACCCCCACAAATTAAGGACTCAGTCCCACAAACCTGCCCCCCCCCCACTTCAGATGCCAGCTGCATGTCTTGGGTATCCCGAAGTTACCCTCACTTCTGCCCAACAGACTACATATTTGGAGGTTCCCATGACCACCCCCTGCCTCAGATTTGATAATTGGATAGAATGGACTCACAGAACTCAGGAAAGCACTAGACTTATGATTACAGTTTTCCTATAATGGATACAGCTCAGGACCAGCCGGATGGAAGAGATGCAGAGGGCAAGGCTTGAGGGAAGGGGCGGAGCGTCCATGCCCTCTCTGGGTATGCCACCCTCCCAGCACATCCATGTGTTCACCAACCCGAAGCTCTCCAAGCCTTGTGTTCAAGAGTTTTTATTCAGGCTTCATTACTTAGTCATAATCGATGAAAACTCCAGCCCCTATTCCCTCCCTAAAGGTTGGGGAGTGGGGCTGAAAGTTCCAACCCTCCAATCTTGTGGTTGGTTCCCCAGGTGACCAGTCCCCATCCTAAAGCTTTCCAGGACCCCCTCCCTATCAGCAACTCAGGTATAGTCTAGTGGGGCTCTTTATGAATAATGAAAGACAGACCTCTCTCTCAGGAAACTGGTGGGTTTTAGGAGCTCCGTGCCAAGAACCAAGGACAAAGACCAAATACATATTTCTTATTATACCACAGTAGTGGAAATGTATTTTGGCAGACCCAAGAGTGGTTGGTCCTTCTAATTTCAGTTCATATTAGAGGGGTTAGCACTGGCCTTCCAGATTCTTAGAGTAAGAACCTGTTCTTTAGGAGGATGGCACATGCCCCTCCCAAGCCTCCACTGCTGACTCCAGTGTAGTTTGGGGACATTTTGAAACCTACATGTTCTTTGTCTATAAAGATAGAAAGAAGGGCCTCTGGAGTATGGGTGCCAGTTGGGTGGTTGTGTTGTCAAGGCCTGACAGGAGCAAGGTGGGCAGAACCAGAGGCCTTGGGTTAGACTGTGGGTGAGACCCTCTCTCCACCCCGAATTCACTCTATCATCTTCGGCAAATCGTTTACTTAACGAGACCCGTTTCTAAACGTGGGAGAAGTATGAGGACACACTTTTCTCATCTCTCCAGTTTAAGGTCCGGCGTTGTAAGCTGTGAGGTAGTTAGCCCATCTTGATTTACTGTTATACTGAGGGTGGATATTTTGGATTGTGTTGCAAGTTTGTTCTTGCCTTAATCCTGGCAAAACCTAGTCTACTCTTCTTTGTCCCACAATGAGACTGATGAGAGGGGAGCTAAGGAGGCCTTTAATGTGTACGTAACCTTCTCTCACTTGCGGGTCTCTGAAGCTTCCTTGACTGCCAGATGCGCCTCCACCCCAGGCACAGATTAGCAGGCCACAACCTGTCTTATCTGTCCAACACTGGGGCAGAGATGAGCCCCACCTTTCCATAAAGACTTCCAGGAAGAAATAAAAAAGAGGATCACATGCCAAAATGAACATAGAAAAGCTCTTTTCTGGAGTGTTTCTAATGTAAAATTCATCACCACCAAAAAACTTGGTTTTTGTTAATACCTGTGAGAGGCCAGGGCTTGTCTGTTAGAACAATCCAGAGAGTAGACCCATAGAGCATAATTTTTCCCAGTATGTCTTTGGCAAGAAAGACTACGGAAGTACAGATTCCAGCTGACACGGCTCAAGAGCTTCTTTTCTCTGGCGTGGAGTCTGGACAGCTGTCTTTAGTACGGTGGCCTCCAGTTAGGCCCTTTTCCAGCTAGGACCTGGACAGTCCTCTTGTATGATTTGGGGTACATAAAGAATTTAAATGCCCAGGTAGAATTTTCCCAGTAACTTTACAAACCAGTTAAAACTATTTCTGAGGAATTTGGAGGGGATGGAGGAAAGGGAGGGAGATGGGGAGACGGAGAAAGTCGCCTCACCCCCTCCCGGTTTCTGTTTTCTATCCTCCCTTTTTTCATTTCCTACAGCCATCCTTCTAGTCCAGCATTGTATTCTCTCTCGCCGACAGCATTAGAGGAGCATACAGCGTCTTCTCGCACTCCTCCACTCTAGCCCATTTTGTGCACTGCTTTCCTAGAATGTGGAGCTGGCCTTGTCACTGTTCTTCTGTGGCCATGGGGTGTGTTCCTGCCCATCCCCCACAGTTCCTGCCAGACCCTCTCTTTCAGCTCCTGTCCTTCCGACCTTCTCTCCATTCAGACACCAAATCATTCACTGATAAATCCTTTACACCCAAGGCAGCGTTGTGTGCGGAATCGACTTTTACTCGTATCTGGGGTACTCCCCACTGCAGGTCTTTGTCAGGCTGTTGCCTCACAAGTTCTCATCTGTGTTCTCTCTGCCCTTCATGGCCTCACTTCAGGTGACCTCCTCCAGGGTACCTTTCTGGGTTCCATGGGTCAAAGTGCATCACTTTGTACCCCTCTACTCCTGAAGCACTTTATTGGTGCCGTTATTATCCAGATATCATAGATGTTACCATGCTGTGGATTAGAGTGACCATTGGATGTTTTGGCCTTTGCTCTCAAGTATATTCCAGAAGGCAGGGACTAGTGTTTTCTCTGGCACCTACAAGATAGCTGCTCAATAAATATTTGTTGAATAAATGAATACATTTCTGGAGCATAGAAACTGTGTCTTTTTTATCTTTGGATCCACCACAGTATCTTCACATTAAAAGTAGATCAATAAATGTCTTTTTAGGTTATTCATTTAAACAGAGTTCATATCATAAAACCTTTGCAGGAGCAGCCTTTTAAAGGTGAAAGTCCAAATAGGCCGTCCTGTATCGTAGCCATTGTAGCTAACCATGTTCATTTCCAAACTTTCAAATCATGTCAATATTTTCTCTGATTTGTGAAAGACAATATTTGGAAAGTCTTACAAGGGCATATGAGCATGTGCTTGTGCACACACATACAATTTTTTAAAAATATTGAGTCATTATTATGGGGAAAAAAATTTGAAATCAACACTAACTCTGAAAGCCGGAATGTATACTGCCATACTCATAATGATTTTTCCTACTGTTCTGGAATTTTTCCCTCTGTGGGACTGGGGACAATATTTTATATATGCATATCTTGCCTCCATGGATGCTGGAGACCAGGTTTTAAACTCTAAAAAGTCTCACCCATACCAGGTTTTCAATACTTTCTGAGCAATTGAGTTGTTATTCTACAGGAAAATAAAGGAGCTTTTCCCATGTGAGCCTTTTGTTTGATCTGTTGGGGTTATTTATATTTTACAAATGAGCGTTCATTTCTATCTGGGTTTGGCTTCTTTTCCAGGGAGGTTCCCTTGAAGGATGCTAAGGAATATGCTGAGTCCATAGGTGCCATCGTGGTTGAAACAAGTGCAAAGAATGCTATTAATATTGAAGAGCTCTTTCAAGGAATCAGTAAGTACCTGAGGTTGTTGGCTTACATTTTATGCTCTGACCGTAAAGGATGAAATCGTAGAACTCTGAAATAGAGCTTTTCCTCTGTGTGAATTTGTTTGATGCTGTGGATGTAAAACCTACAAGCATACACTTGTTAATTCTGACCTATATTGTGCCTCCCAATTCTAACTTTCCATAATTCTGTGCTTTGACCTGTTGATTCTATGTTTTGTGAATCGAAATGAAGTAACCGTGTTGCAAAATAAAATTTATTTTAATTAAAAAATTATCTCTTCGATAGCATTTTATGTTAGTGTGTCGAGGAGAGGAGAAATAAAGTAGACAGTGATCAGGTATAGAAAACCGAAGTCACCCATCAAACTGAATGACTCTAGGCAAACAAAGTAAGAGAAACTTAGTAATTTCTTTTATTGGTGATCATCAACAAAAAACAGTCTTTCCATCTGCCATGACCTGAAGTTGGGAATTGGGTGGAGAGTCGATGTTTAAAGATTTTCTTCAGTCTGATCAGCTAATTGATGGAAGGAGACGGCTCCCTTCGTCTCCAGTTCTGCGCCATGTTATGCTTCCCTTTCTTTATGCTGGTTCCCCATGAATAACCTTCATCTAAGATCTGTTTCCCAGCTGATGGCCAGACTTTACCTTTGCAGCTTCTCTGGTAATGACGTTCTCTTCTGGGGCCCCTCAGAGGCCACCTGCTCTTGGGAAACTGTGTCCTGAGATGCTCTCAGAGTGTAATTGGGCACTTTGCAAGAAGTGTAAGTGTTTAGTGAGGTGCTGGGGCACAAAGTCCTGGGGTACCCACCTTAGGAAAAGTTGAACCCCTGAACAGTTGGCAGTTGTTCTCAAATATTTTGGCTCCAGACAATTCCAGAAAGGAAACTGATAGTTTGATCTCTCTTCTGCCTGAGGTCATTGTTGGCGGTGCTCTCGAAGTCAGAGGGGGCCGCTTCCCAGAACAGATTGATTTCCTTTTAACTGGGTTTGGTTCATTACTGTAGACTCTGAGAACCCACAGCAGGGAATATTTTGTTTGTTTCTCTTGGCTTGACGGGGAATTCACTGGGGATGGGGAACTCTGGCACGGTACAGAAATGCACCAAAGAATGCAGCTCAGCCCTCCACAGCCCCCGGCCCTGTTCACGGGTGTCCACACCACCTTCCCTGCCTTCCTCCTCCAGAAGCATTCGTTTTCCTGCTATTTCGCACTCTCTACAGAATGGTGTTCTCCAAGCTCATTGACCTGAGTGGGTGAACGCTAGAGAGCCAGGGTTGTAACTTAAAGTTGGAAACCCCATCTCCCCAGACTCCTGCTCCTTCCTGGAAATGGGCCGTGGTGCAGTGCTCTGCCGTGAGGAAACTGCTCGGCTGCCCTCTGTGGCTGCAGAACTCTGGGTGACGTCTAAGAGAGTTGGGCTTGAACTCATTCCATTGCCCTCTTATTTCCTGACCAAACTCATTCTTTTCCGGGGATGTTGAGCTTTTCTGGTGTGTTAGGCTAGTTGTACAGCTATTGAATGTTTCGCTTTATTAGTGGTTTTAACTCCTGAAGCCAGAGAGCTCCTGATGACAGTGACATCCACGCCCCTCCTCTGAGCAGTTCCTCGTGTTTCTCCAGCCCTCTCCGCAGCGCTGGCCCTGGGGGGAAGACGGTGCAGTGGGCAGAGCTCAGCGAAGGAAGCGCAGCGCTCCGTGTACTTGAAGTTCAGCTTGAGGTCTCTGCCTGAGCTAGGAGACCTCCTGAGGCTTATGCAAGTCATTATTAAAATAAAAAATGAAATAAGGACCTCAAAGAAGAAAACAAACCTAAGCAGCAAGTATCAATATCTTAATTTAAAAGGTGTTTCTCTCTGTGATCCAGCCAGTATAAGTCCCTTCACGCATCTGCAATATTTCTGGCTCAGAGTGATGGGGACTTTGAATAAGGAATTCCTGAGATCCTGGTAAAGAAAAAACAAGTGTATTGCTTAAAGCACCAGGTAATTATGGCTCAAAATAATTAATTCCTATGGAAGCTGTAGAATACTTGTATCACCTCATCTTCCACGTCAAATAAACAATTGTTTGTTTCTGTTTCCTTACATTTTGGTTAAATTGCCTTAGCAAAGAGCCTGTTGATACGCAGGCCAGGCCGCGGCAAGGTCTCTCTCCACATGTGTACTGTAAGCGCTGGTGCCTAACAGCCTCTTTTTCCTTCAGGCGAATTTCTTGGGACCGGGGCGTGGCAGGCTGAATACAGGTTCATCTCAAAGGCAGCACTGGGTACCCGTAACGTAGTGCAGCCGACGTTTCGTCTATTTTCCTTTTCCCCAATCTTACTTGTATTCCACTTGCTCCTCCCTGAGCTCAAAATAGAATGAGACATTGCTGACACCTGTGCTCCCCAAAGCAATGTTCCAGTGACAAACGTACCTGGGAGAAAAGATGCAATGAAAAATCAAGAGTAGTGAGAATAAAAACCCTTTCAAAAGGGGTACTTACAATTAATTTACATTGACTTAGAGGGAGAGACACATGTTGCTCTTTTACATTCCCTGAGTGTTTGTAAACCAGAAATGAGACAACTGTGCTTTCTGAACAGGAGTTAATGTATTTTCTAACTGGAAATTGTTTGACAAAATATCACCTGTTTTCGAAGACGGAAGCTACCTTGTAGAGGATTTAGGGGCTTCCCTGTTTGGAGTTGTCTGTGCACAGTCTGTCCTCCCAGAAGGTGCTGTCCTCTGCCTGGCGGCCCCCCAGGTCCCTTTTCTAAATCCCATGTTTGGAGCTTCTTTACTCTGCTGCGTGTGGCTAATTCTCTTCCATGCAGTTCCACCCAGGCTAGTCCATTGTACTTTCTTGGGTTCTTATACCATTAATTTGAACATTAAAGGTTTGCTCTTTGAGTTAAAATATAGGAAGAAAAGTTCTTGGCCAAGAAAATTATTGTACATTTGAGTTTTTAAATTGGTGTAGGAAAACACAAAGAATATTCTGCTGCTGTTTACTTATTACAGTATGAAAATCAAAACCCAAAATCTTCATGGTCTTCCTTATGCAGCTACCCTCTCAGCCTGTCTCTGTCATCGTAACTTGAAAGGCAGGGGATGGAGCTCCGAGGCCGGTGTCTGCTCCTCGGCAGGCTTGGTCTTCATTCCTTCCTCCCTGAGTTTGCTCACTCCGCACCGATGTGTGATGCTCATCCCTGCAAACCTTGATTCCTTCAAGGCACAGTTCAGATCTCCTCCCTTCATGAAGTCTTCATCTGCCCTGACTCTCACAATGGTTCCTGCCTTTAATTTGAGGTTTCTTAACAGTCCACGCCATCATTTTGACATTGGAACACATTCCCTCTTTAAATGATTCTCCAAGTGTTTCAGATATTCATCTCTTACTCTTGTGGCGAGACTGCACAATCTCCGGAGCAGATCTTACTCTGTCACATTCTGTCATACTAGCTGAGACTAATAAATAGGATAGTGCCAAATTCAGGTTTTTGAATTTGGATCTTCAGCCTCATCTCTTGATGTTCCAGGAGACAATGTGTCAGTGGGTTCACAGATCAAGTGAAATGTAGTCACTTTTCTACAGGGACTTAAGGTTGGATAATACTAGCTAATTAGAGAGGCCTGGTTTCTCTTCACTCGTTTATTCGACAGATGTATCCTACACTCTTTTGTGAGCCAGGCGCCATGCTAGACACCAGGGACATCATGGCGATCAAAACAAATTGACACTTGAGTGGATGGGCTGTGGGCAGAGTCAAACAGGTGTATAATTACACGTTGTAATGCTGTACATTACAAGGACTGTGGGGACAGTAACAGGTGGGGACTCTAGATTGGGTAGAGGAGGTGTCCCCAAGAAATTGATTTTAAGCTGGACTTGAAAAATGAGAAGAGGCCAGTTGGGCAGAGAGCTCAAGAAGAGCTATCAGGCTGTAAACACCAGAGCTGAGTTCCTGAGGTGGGAGGTGATGTGGTGCGTTTAAGGGAGAGGAAGGAAGCCAGTGGACTGCAAGGTGGGGAGCTCAGGGACAGCGCTGAGAGACAGGCTTAGAGACTGAGCCAGGTCCTTGCATGGCCTTGTAATGGAAAGGAGGGGGTGATATGCTGAATGCAGCTGGAAGCCCTTCAAGTGGTTTAAGCAGGGGTGTGGCATATCCAGTTTACGTTGACAAAAAGATCAATGTATCAGGAGGAGGAAAGATTGGAAATGGCTCACTCAGTTAGGATGCTGTTGTAGTCCAGTAGTCCTCCCTTATCTGTGGTTTCACTTTCTGCTGTTTTAGTTACCCTTGGTCAACTGCAATCTGAAAATATTAAATGGAAAATTCCAGAGATAATTCATAAGTTTTAAATCACGTGCCATTCTGAGTAGTGTGATGAAATCTTGCCGTGTTCCTCACTGTCCTACCCAGGATGTAACTCATCTCTTAGCACAGCATATCCACGCTGTACGCGCCACCCCGGCCCCTCCCTGTTAGTTGCTTAGTAGTCGTCTCGGTTATCAGATCAACTGTGCAGTATCACAGTGCTTGTGTTCAAGCACCCCTTATTTTACTCAATAGTGGCTCCAAAGTGCAAGAGTAGTGAAGCTGGCAATTCAGATATGCCAAAGAGAAGCTATAAAGTGCTTCCTTTGGGTGAAAAAGTGCAAGTTCTTGATTTAATAAGGAAAAGAAAAAAATCGTATGCTGAGATTGCTAAGATCTACAGTAACTTTTATTACAGTATATTGTTATAATTGTTCTATTTTATTATCAGTTATTATTGTTAATCTCTTACTGTGACTAACTTATAAATTGAACTTTATAGTTTATCATATAGGAAAAAACATAGTGTATATAAGGTTGGGCACTGTCCGTTGTTTCAGGCATCCACGGGGGTCTTGGACTGGATCTCCCATGGATATCCGGGGACTACTGTAATCTGGAGGAAATGTCACTTGGAGTAGGGTGGAAACAAGTGGACGTGAACTTCAGAAATTGTCTGGAAGTAGAACTCAGTGGCACT